CAATACCCTCCCGAGACTCTGGACAAAGATAACCCCGTTGCGCCTGTGCACATCTATGCGTGTGTGCGTGACATAGTAAATCCCCTCTCCCACCCACACTTCCAACACTGGCTCACACTCCTGACATGTTTCATCTGTCCTGGCGAAAAGATCTACTAAGCCAACATCCCTCTCCCCACCTCCCCATGTACAGCATGAGCTTGCCATTCCCTAATCAAAAACATTTACTGTGTGAGCCAAAGTCTGTTTGGGCCAAAATAGACATGCTGCATTTCTCCTCCATCAACCCTGGCCCTGTGTCTAATGTGTCGTGCTTACAGTGGATTAGCCTGCCAGGTGGTTTATTCTTCCAATCAAAATGGCTCTGCTGGGGGCGGGCGGGCGGGAATCACAAGCCAAATGAGTTTGAATTCTTATTTCAATGAAAGGGTTTACTTGTTGTACCTTTTGCACTCTGAATCCATCCTCCCTTGGTTCACGTGTAACTGAACACACACTGTCCTGGTACTGACAAGTTGCACAAACGTGGCATGAATACCAATAGGAACTGTGAGATTGGACAATTAAAAAGGGGCCACGGGCCAATTGGACAATGGGATTGTACCCTAAAAACGCAGGTGCACCATCATTGATGGGCAGCAGCTGGTGAAGCCACAAAAGAACAAAACTCACACACACACATGCACACGTGCATACATTTTCAAGTGGTTTGTGATGTTTTAATACTTGCACATGAGTTATGAGTTTTACATCTTTCTTGCACCATTATTCAGGATTTACAGCCATTTCCAGCAGAGTAGTTTTTTTCAGGGTCTCAGTAATATCATTCAGTGCAGACATTGGCATATCTTTTCCAGTCAATTACTGCCTGAAGTCTGCATCGCTCAAGTGTAGAGACTTTGGCTTTGGAACTGGATGGTCACAGTCTGTGAGTACCACTGTGAACGAGGCGAGGGAATTCATATGAATGTAGCTATCGCAGTTCCATGATTGATAAAATTAATTTATAAGATTTCTTATTTAGTCTCTTAGCAATTACCATCGGATAGCGAAATGAAATACTGCAAGTGGGGTTGTTTTAGGGTGGGATTTTGAAAAAAAAAATGTTTCACCTTTTATTTATCCACATAAGGCATATGAGAACAGATTCTCACTTGCGATGCTGACCTAGCTGCAGACAACAGAGGTTTTGTCAATTTTATCAATGTATGTAAAGTGCTTTCCGTCACCTTGTTGAATTGTGCTATCCAAATAAACTTGCACTGCCTACATATGCCAGCATGTTGTCGCAGCCTTGCTTAGAAACGTAGGTCGGGACAACCTTTCCATCAAAGGGAATATATGTACATTGAAAATAAATTATAAATAGCTAATTCCTCAACAGATTTTCATGAGGTCTATAGAGTCTAAAGATGTTCTATTAATACAGAACAGAGCTAAAAACTATTCTTACCCATGCAAGGTTATTCCCAGTTCCCCTCTTGTGATTGTACTGCATGCGTGCAACCATAAACAGCCCTATGTTCAGGCTGCTCTGTTATTTTGGTTTTCATGCCATCCAAAAACGGTGGAATGCACTTACACTTTGCCCTTGCTACCTTTTTAATCTCACTTTAGGTACACAGCGCAAAGGGGCATGTCATCTCTACCTATTTGTACTAGTGATGAGACGAACAACACCGGTGCATCAGCACTGTGCAAAGTGCGAAAGTGTGAAATCCCGTATTGGTGCGCGCATTGCTTGAACAAAAAAAATCATGTGACCAAGACAGGAAGTATGTCGTTTCGATGTGCCACGTCAATTTGTGTTTATAAGGAAACAAACTGAATCAACATGTTGTGGGTTTGTTGGATGAAGATTATACCTGTACCTGTGCCAGGTGTTGGAGTTTTGCTTTGCTTCAATATGGATCGTTCTAGAAAATTTTCACGTCTGAATTTTTTTTTTTTTATCTTGACGCCAAATGAGGTAAATCTTTTCCTCCTTTTGGCATGGTTAACTGTTAGTTTTTAATCAAATATTTCTACGCTTTTTCTCGTCAGATTAACTTTTTATTTTAGTGTCTTTGAAGTTTCGGCTCTGCTCCACAGAACCGTCTTATGTCCATAAGAACACTTCATCAATGTATTGATGCATACCATCTTCATCTGTTCCCTGTGAACGAATATTTTCTAAGGCTGGTGTCCAAGAGGAGAAATCTCCTTGGAGCAAAGACACTTAAAAACTTTTTGTTCCTCAATAAAAATGTATGAATAAATCAATCTTTGCATTTTTTTCAGATGATTAAACAACTCTGGTACACATAATCCCATACATAAATTAAACGTTTTAACTATGAACGATATTACAGACAAATTTGCTATATTTTGCAGCAAATTTTGAACACTTTTCAGAAACTTAACTCAGTTAACAAACGGAGCAAATGAAATTATACAAAGATTAAATTATATTTTCAGTTAAAGAATAAAACTAGCAATTGAATAAAGTTGAAATATTATTTCACAGGCTATTTTTGCGGTGCCAGCATGCATTTTTTATTTTGTTTACCTGCAACAATTTTAGATGTACAGCAGAGGTCCCTATTTACTGACCAACACAAGTATCAATACAGTGTCAACACTGTTTGTGTAATACACTTTTTATGGACCGGTTTTGTGTTAAAAAAAAAAAAAAAAAACCTTCAAATTAGTAAACCAGTATAACTTAATTATTTCTCAACCTATTTCTACAAGAATTCAATTTTAAATTTGTTCCTTTTGAAGATGCTCATTTAAAGGCCCTAATTAGCATGCAAAACCCACACAGGCGTGGGAAGAACATGCAGACGCCACACACGAAAGCCGGAGCCCAGATACCAGCCGCAAGGCGAATATGCTCACCAGTTGGCCACTGTTCCACCTTTATCGGACTAAATTCAGTATTTTCTACTTCAGTAAACAACCGTGTTGTACATTTAGAATGTGGGTTGTGCCTGTCTTATAAAAGTGTCTGAATCATTTCAACAGTTTTCAGCCCTTTGAGTTCCATTTTTATGGATGAAAAGTATTATATAAATAGTTTTATAATTTTTGACATTGACCTGTTTGACAAATATCATGTAAAACCTCGAGAATTATGCAGGTTCTTTTATTCTCACAATTTAGGCTTTCCCCCCTTGGTGTATTCCCAATGAATTTAAAAAAAGCACATTTTTTAGCATAGTTTTGAAAATTATTGGGCTTAACTCCTTTAAAACAACAATGTCTTGTTCGGCTGCGGCATTATTTGTGTGTGCTCTCCTGACAGCTGTTTACAGGCTAGTGGCCTGACCCACAATCCTGGTCATTGAAGCCAAGAGCTTTATCTGGAGTCAGACTCTTACGTCCGGATCTGATAGAGGCACCCAGACTCGACCAGAGAGGCTCTTCAGAGACAGACAGGCCTCTTGCCCTTTTTTCTTGCCTCAGTTGCTCTCAAAAAAGGATCCCTGATTCTATCTACTTTCTGCAGGGGGGGGGGGGGGGTCAAGAAGTCTTGGCTAGTTTCCTTACTCTGTATACCTGGCTAATTTTAACCACCACTGAGCAGGACACTGAAGAGAGCGCAAGCAGAGTTGTTATTTTGAGCCATCATGTCACGTTCTTAGATGAGCCACTTTATCTCTGCTGGAGTAGTGCCAGTGTGTGCCCCTGTGTTCTTGGCCAGAAAATTGATGAATGTGTTGTGTGGCTTGAAAAAAAAAATCAGTTAACCTCTCACCCCAGCACATGGACGATGTTTGTGTTTGCACTGATGCATTACATGGCAATGTGTGGCGTGCACTCTCCGCAATATGAACTATAGCTGCTGCCTGAATCGCGTTTTGAAGCTTCCAAAACAACTTTTTTTGAATCCTGAAAAAATAGTGGTTGTCAACGAAGACGTGCCTTGCTACAGAAATAGAATGTGGGTGATAATCATGAGCAATGTGTGGGTATATTGAAAGGCGAGGCTCACTCTAATTCAATTGAATGGGCCTGCGTGGCGCAGGCTGCTTGTACATTTTTAAAAGCTTCACCATTTAATCCACTGGTAATCGTGAAATTAAAAATATGGTCATCTATTGTTCTAAAACACAATATGTGTATCGTGTATACTAAGCAGCACATGGTTGTGTCTTGCAAATGGCGCAAACACCAAAGTGGATTTCTTGCATAGGTGTGTGTGCTCTCTAGCAGCAGATTTGTGTGTGTCTCCCTCCCTCCGCAAGATTATTGTCATTGGCTCGGTTTAGCTGGCGATCAAAACCAAACTTGAAATAAGGAATGTGGTTGGTTGGACTGAGCTTTACATGCAACACAAGCGTGGCAAAGTCATTTGACTGATCTCGTCCTAATTTCGATATGTTTTTCATTCCCTTTACAGTCAATCACCAGATTTCACTGCTTACAATATTGCCCATTTCATACATAGGTCATACAAACATAAAATAAACAAGTTGACCGAGATGCTGCCATTTGTGAATGTAGTTTGCGTGATGAAAAATAGCCGTTTCGACCACTTCCTCTTTGTGACATGCCAGCACACACGTAATTCAGAGACCTTTATACCATCAAAATGCAATAGTTTCGAAAACTGATGTTTCCAACGAACTGGTAGTATGTCAGTGCAACACAATACCGTTTAATCAAGTCCCACGCTACTAATACTAATACTGTGCTTAATTCGTTGCCAGAAAGAAATTATGTGAGGTACCTTTCGGACTGTGTCCACAAGGTGACACCTATGATCTACTCCTGGAATTTTTTTTTCCGTTTACTACATGAGTTTTGAGCCTATTCTAGCAGACTTTGGGGGGGAGAAGAATACTTTGGACTGGTCGCCTGCCAAATGCAGTGCACTTAGTTACACATTTAAATGAAGTTCAAAACTACTTGTGATATTCTTTTTATCTTGGATTTAGCTAACCACAAACTAAATTGCTGAACATAACCATGACACTGTTATTTATCGAAATTGCTTTTTCCACCTCTCTTTTCAGACAGTGAGATTGTTCCTCCCGACTGTTTGCGCCCTCGCTCTTTCACGACGGTGCGCTCCTCCTCTCTCTGCCGTGGGGCAGACGACTCCCGTCTCTCTGTCAGCCTGTGTGACCTCAACCTTCAGCAGGAGGAAGGAGGCAACTCCCACGCACACCATCACACGCTCCACCTGGCCTCAGCCTCCTCCAGCTGCCCCATCCCCCAGAACTCCCTCAACTCGCAGCAATCATCTTTGTTGCCGTCCATCATCGAGAGCGATCTCCACTTCCACCAGCTGCGCGGCGCCCATATTAAGACTCTCGATGAACAGACTGTGGCGAGATCCGAGCATTCACGGGAGGAGCGCACGCTCGTCTTTACCAACCGCCCTCTACAAACTGGAGAGTGTGTGTACATCAAAGTCACCAAATCCAGTCCAGCCCGCTCAGGTTCCTTGTCCTATGGTGTGACATCATGCGACCCATCTGTGCTGCGCCCCAGTGATCTGCCATATAATCCAGAGGCTCTCGTGGATAGAAAGGAGTTTTGGGCGGTGTGTCGTGTGCCCACCCCTCTACAGAGCAGTGACATCCTTGGCTTCTTGGTCAACCAAGAAGGGGAGGTCATTTTAAGCCACAACGGCACCAACGTTGGCATGCAAGTCTGTGTGGACAACTCGCGTCCACTCTGGATGTTCTTTGGCCTACATGGTGCTGTCACTCAGTTGAGAATTCTGGGTAAGCATGAGCGTCATGCAATCACATTTAACACAAACACGGGTAGACAGGGATTATAGTGTTTGTTCAGTGTGCTAAAATAAGGAGGATTATTACAACGCTGTGAACCTTGGAGAGCTACTCAGCAGGAGTTGTGTTAATCTGGCAGTTGATGGCATTAAGATAATGGCAGTGCTATCAGGACTTGGGCTTTCTCTCAAGCCAATTTGGAATAAAAATGCCTCATTGGAAACTGATTGTTGGAGAGATGCTACTCTGCTTGCTTGCTACTGTCAAGGTGCGGTGCCCTTGAGTGAGACACCATCCGCAGCCGCATCATCTAGCTCCAAAGATGCGGCATTTTTTACACGCCACTTTTGACTCTGAAACTCTCCACTGACGGCATAATTAACTGGCGGTCTCTTAGCGTCCTGAATTAGCGTTTGAATATGATTTTGGAATGGTGTTGGTAACCACTAGGATTGTGTGATAGGGCTAAAATTTAATAGCGCCATTTTTTTGCTAGATATCTCTTAACGATTTTTTAATGATACTACTGTGGGTTCAGTGAAAACTTAAGCGAAAAAAAAAGAATCGATCCAAAAGATTGTGGAAAGTTTTTTTTTTTTTAAACTTGCTAACCGCCGTCAACATTATCAAAGTCAGCAACACATTTAAAATAATTAAATTCACAGTGTACTTCAACATAAGTGTTTATTGTGTGCGTGTTAACTGCACCAGCGTGTGATGTTATGTACCAATTTGCCCATGAACGACTGCAGTAAGGATAAACGATTCAGAATGTGGATAAATGTGTTGTGTGGATTGGGAAAAAAAACAAAACAAAACAGTTCATCACTCAACCGCACGTGACGACGGTTGTGTATGCATTGCTGCATTGCATTGCGTTGTGATGCCCAGCGACATCAACTACGCCTGGAATGCGTTTCGAGGGACCCGATACAATGTTTAATTTGATCACGTTTTATGAATCCACAAAAAGATGGTGGCAATCAATGAATACGCACGCAGTGACTGAAATAGGACGCCGCCCGCGTGCTCACAGATTTTTACAAGCTCTGCTATTTTATCCAGCGGTAATTTTGAAATTATTAATATGTAATGTTCCAAAACACAAAATATGTGTACCGTCCGTATATGCTTGACAGCGAACATGGAAGTGGATTTCTTGCATGTGTGCTGTCTAAGTAGCAGTGCGTGTAACTCCCTCGCTCGCCCTGCACATGTCCCCCCATCCCTGTCGCCGTCCACAAAATGATTGAGAGCAAGGTGAGTGTCAGCTGATTTTAATTGTCGATCGACTTCAAAGGAGCAATGTGGTTGGTTGACCTGTGATTTACTTGCAGCACAAGCGTGGCAAGGGCACGACGGATATCATCTTCATTTCCATATCGCTGTCTTAAATGTTGGTATCTCACTTTGATACGATACGTATTTCCCAAGGCTGTGATCATTTAGTGGTTAGTTCCCTGCATTGTGGCCGCAGCAATCCTGGTTCGAATCCTGGTCATGGTATGTATAAAAACCATACTTGACTTCTGGGCGGCCTGGTGATCCAGTGGTTAGCGCGTCGACCTCACAGCGCAGAGGTACCAATTCAATTCCAGTTGCGACCTCCCTGTGCGGAGTTTGCATGTTCCCCCCCGGCCTGTGTGGGTTTTCCCCGGGTACTCCGGTTTCCTCCCACACAGTGGTTAGCGCATCAACCTCACAGTGCAAAGGCACCAGGTTCAAGTCCAGCTCCAGCTAAAAAACATGCGTGGTAGGTTAAAGGAACACTCTAAATTGTCCGTAGGTGTGAGCGCGGATGGTTGTTTGTCTTTATGTGCCCTGTGATTGGCTGGCAACCGGTTCAGGGTGTCCCCCGCCTGCTGCCCGAAGACAGCTGGGATAGGCTCCAGCACGCCCGCGACCCTCAAGAGGGTAAGCGGATCAGAAAATGGATGGAATTCAGGAAATTCACGATCCATGAAGCTACTGTATTGTACTTAGCTTTTTTTCTCGTTTATTTTTGTACACCAAAGCAATCACTATGTCACAATGTATATTAGTCAATGGAGTAATCCCTCACAGACAACATGCTCCCTTCACCGTTAATTAAATTCCATTTTGGTTTGACAACTAACTAAAGGAGCACACCACAAAAAAAAAAAAAAAAAAAAACTTGGCACAACACCAAATCAGAAACACTGTCTTCTGAGCAGCTGTAATCTTTCTACATTCTTGACATTCCGATATGTAACTTCTCTTGTCCGATGCTGATGTATTGCCTTGTGTTGACAGAAGAGCAATTTGAATTTCAATGAAGATGAATGGAAGCCATGTTGAATGTTGCTAGACATTCTACTGCACAGGAGGAGGGGCCAGATTATGCATTCGTGACAAATGCGTCAATTCAAACCATGTTCTGTATAGCAGATAAATGCTGTCTCTATTGATGCATCTTGTTTCTTTCCTAGTGCCCTGGGTGAATTGTACATGACACAAACTCTGAATGAGAATAATAACAATGATAGATACAGCGCAACAGCTCTGATCGCAAGCTGCAATTACAGACTGCTGACCGCTGACAGCTTCCAATGATGCAGGTCACACGCCATCATAGGTTAAAGGTGACCTGCTATTTAATTGAATTTTATTTTTTCAGAACTTTTTGTGAAAGTGAGACTGAGAGAATGCTAAGAGTGTAGTGTGCACTAAGACAAGAACACGCACACAGACACACAAATGTTTTTGGGTTGATTTATGTATTTATTTATTTTTTCCGTCTCCGCCCCTCGTGATCAACTTGGGACCAGTTCACGAGCTACCGGTTGATCGCGATCGACTTACTGGGCTCCCTTGATCTACAGTATAAGATATGACAATTGTATTCAAGCATAATATCATTTTCTTTCATGATATTGATATGACTTCACTGGGGGCTTGTAGGAATAAGTAGTTTGACAGTGTGTTTATGCGTGCGTGTTGTTGTAATGCACGTTTTGATTGTCAAGGAAAAAGAAAGCCACTTTGCCTGTTATGATGATGTCAGTTTCAGACAATAATAACCTGCTGGGCTTCTGAGAAATAGAATTTAAAAAAAAAATTTTTTTTAAAAACTCACCTATAAAGAAGCAACGTGTCAGTATCCGTCAGGGTTTTATGACATATGTCAAGCCTCATGTTCAGGTGGTGATGTAGATAAGAGGGTTTTACACAGCTGTTACTCAGATCCTCGCAGCGCACCGCGTGCTGTTGCACGACAACACGCCTTTTTGATACCGTTGCTTCAGATCCTTTCATCTGGATCATCTCGTTTGTGATTTGCCACACCAAATTTTAGTCCCACCTTATCAACTTGAGCCTTTTCAACCAGTACTGCAGATTGCATGATCCTTCCACTGCTAACGCAGCATCAGGAGCAATCTTCATGATCTTGTTCAATAATACTTGCGGGGAAGGATTGAGAGACAGTCACTCATTCCTGAACCACTCCAGCTGACATTTGTCCCTGTCAAGTCTCACTGGGTAAATTCGGAAAATTCCGTATTTTCCGCACTATACGGCGCACCCAAAAGCATTCAATTTTCTCAAAAGCTGACAGTGCGCCCTATAATGGGATGCGCCTAATATAAAGAGACTAACTTTCTTTACATTCCCCATTGAGTTGTTTCCCTGTTAGTGTTCCTCTGCCATCTAGTGGTGGTTATTAGCCAGAAACAATTGTAACTTAAGACAACTACTTTGTGAGCTCTGCGCAGCCATTATGAAACGAAGATGATACCAAAAGCATAGTTATCTATTGACTCAACAAAGAAGGAGACAAACAAGGATATTTAGCCCCTTGTGGATGTGAGCCCAGGAGATTGTTGCGCCTTTTTTGTTGAATCACTTGTCTTCATAACTTTTGTCTTTCATTAATTGTTTTGTAATGTCATTTGTATTTATATGTTTCATGTGCGTGTTTGTGACCAGTTTTCATGGCTGTGTTATTGCTGCAGCGGTTGGCAAGGCTCTCTATCAGTGGTTCTTAACCTGGTTTCGATCGAACCCCAGGGGTTCGGTGAATCGGGTGTTCGACGGAGCCACTGCCATGGAGGTTGACACATCCGACTCAACATGTCAATTAGTTATGAGTGCATATTAACTGGTTGGGTTCGGTACCTCTAAGGTTAAGAACCACTGCTCTGTATAAATAAATAAATATAAAAATATAATAATAATAATATAAAATACAATAAAACATCATAAAAAAATAAATAAAACTGCACTGTATTGTAATGTATTGTATTCTCTTTAGCAAACCACCACCTAGTGGATGCGTAGCGAAACCGCAGTCACTGTTATAATGTGGTGCGCCCTATGTATGAAAACAGTTTTAAAATAGGCCATTCATTGAAGGTGTACCTTATAATCCAAAGTGGTTTATAGTACAGAAAATACGGTATATTCCCTATTCCCATATCTACCAGACAAGAGAGAACACTCCCCGACCACCACCTCACAAA